TAAGAACTGGTGGTGGAAATCCTAAAGACTGCAGCACCAAGAGTAGTTGTGTTTTGCTAACATGGTCAAATGCACCTTTAACATCAACAAAGAGGGCAGAAAGGACTTTACCATTCAACTTTGCCTGCTGAATATCATGTGTTAATGCCATCACTGCATCCACTGCACTTCTTCCTTTCCTTCCTCCCATTTGCTCTGAGTGTAGCAGACCTTTAGTTTCTGCAATGTAAGCTAGTCTGTTGGCCATAATGTGTTCTGAAATCTTTCCTAAGCAGTTTAGCAGAGAGACAGGTCTATAGGCTTTGGGGGTAGTATAGTCTGCTTTGTTAGGTTTTCTGATTATAGCTCCAGTTACCTCTCTCCAGCATTGGGGATGATAACCTGTCTTCAGTACAGCTTGAAATAACTTAACAAGAGGAATTGGAATTATATGATCCACTTGCCTCAGACAAAGAAAGTTAATACCATCAGGTCCTGGAGCCTTGTGAGGTGCAGATTTGAAGATTGCATCTTTTACCTCATTGTCAGTAATCTCAGACCAGGGAAAGCACTTATCTACTTCTGTGTCCTCATGGCTGAAAGTTGTTTTGCTTGCAGGTGGATTAGGAAACATGGCTTCTCTGAACATCATGCACTTACTATCAAAGTCAGTAGCACACTGTTGGTCAAAATAGAGGGGAGGAGTTTTGAGGGACTTAGTTGGTCTAGTATACTTAACTGCAGTGAAGATATCCTGACCTCTAGCAGTATTGAGGAAACTCTGCCAGCACTCAGCTTTGCAGTCTCTCATTTTCCTAAAGTATTTGTTCCTAGATCTTTTGTAGTTAGTGTAGTCAGTGTCAAGTCTGGAGTGTTTCCATATTCTGCAGCATTTGGCCATCTCACTCCTCATGCTGGCAAGTTCATCACTCCACCACCTCTTTGATCTACAGCAAGGTTTGCTAATAGGAACATGGAGAGAGAGGGACTGGTGGATTGAGTCTGTCAGAATAGATGCAGCCTGGTCTAAGGATTCAGCTGTGCCATCATCAATGAAAAGAGTAAATGTAGGGGAAGACTTAGCCATTAATTCCTGAAGTGTTTTCTGAAAAGACTCCCAGTCTGCTGCCTTCCAGTTGAATTTGTTGCTCATGGGACTAGGAACTAAGTTGTCAGTATTCAATACCAGAGAGAATCTTACCACTTCATGATCACTTCCAGTATGTGCATCCTGATCTACTGCCCAGTCAATCAGTCTTTCAAAGATGTCAGGTGTAGCCAATGTTAAGTCCAAAATTGAAGTGCCATTCCCATGTCTGTAGTTGTATGTAGGAGTATCTGGATAGTTCACTAGATCACATCTGTTAGCTCTCAACCAGTCTACTAGGATGTCACCTCTGATTTGTTGTTCAACTCCAGAGTTCCACCAACTGTGATGAGCATTGAAGTCACCACAGAGGATTGAGGATGGAGGTAGTTGTAGGTATTGTAGAGTTCTATCTATAGTATAGACTGGTCTAGAGTCTGGTGTCAGTTTTCTTCTTTCATTATAAATATTCCAAAGGGTAAACTTCTCTGTTCCAGCAAGTATCTGGAGTGGTAGTATATCACCATCAAGGTGGGGAAGGAGATCAGCTCTATAAGAACAAAAGATATCCTGTCTGGATTTGCTTATATAGGCAGCAGTTCTAGGCTTTTCACCATTTGCAGTATCAGGTAGAATAGAATCAAAGGAGGGGTGTGAGTAAGGAGTGCCATCAGATGCCAACCAGGGCTCTTGAATGAGAATAATATCTGCTGTGCCATTAGAATAGTGTAGGAGTGAGGTCAATACTTCATAAGTCTTTGCACAATTGTGCTGAACAATAGAGATTGGTTTGCCTCTCATAAAGAATGAGAGGGATTGTCAGTAGCAGGGAGTTCAGGTGTCCTGATAAGGTTCCTATAAACTGTACACCTCTGATCAGTAGACTTGTGGGTTCCCTCACAGTTAGCACACTTAAGTAAGGTATGGGGACATTCCTTATTGGCCTGGCAGGTTGCACACTTGTGCAGTCTGGTTGAGTGTTCACCAGCACAGAGTTGACATCTTGTATCATGTCTGCAGACCTTCTGGTGATGTCCAAACTTCTGGCAGTTCCTGCATTGTGTTGAGGGTCTGGTATCCACAAACTCTGAGGTTCTGACTGGGGTTCCTGCAATTATCAATCTGTTTCTCAGTGCATGTTTGAGTTCTTTTTGAGACTTAAAGGAAAGGACAAGGGAGGAGTGCAACTTCCCAACTCTAGCTTCTTGTTTGGTTAACCATCTTGGAGCAGCTGCCAACTGAAGGTTAGTATTATATGTTTCAATGTCTTCTCTGAAGGCTGCCA